TGCTTCACTGACTTGAGAAATCATGTGTCTAGAGAGGACTGAGCAGCATCGGGCTACTGAAGAACACTGACATCACTCTTACCTTCCTCTCTTCCACAAATGTATTATCAAAGCCCCATTAACATTCAAAGTCCCACTTCCTCCAATACTGAAGGACAATGGATTAACTAAGAAGTCTTAAGGATGTCCAAATTTACTACGAGTCTAGTATTCCTATAGGAAGTATGTTTCTATAGGAAAAAGAAAGGAAAGTCATTACAAAGTAGTAACACGTGCTTCCTTTTAGGTTTTCTCTATATTCTGACACCTTACAGTATAGTATGGGGGAGGAGGGGAGGCAGGGAAAAGAACCCCCTGCAGAAGAGGGGGTTTTTGGTACTAAAGGCTGCAAATCTAAGACATCTGCTTTTGATTTCTGTTTTCTGGCTTCAAATTCTACTTGCTAGTCAGTTAGACTAGGATTTTCCGCACATGTCAAAACACTACCTGTGGTTAAACTTTTTGCACATTCAATTTGGTAAACAGGTACCCCAGGCATGCATTTCTTCTTGTCCAACACTTGAAATCTTCTGACTCTTCAAGAAGGTGTTTTCCTAAAGTTTTGTTCATGCATAATGATAAAATATTATATGTATTGCAATACTCTAATGGTGAACAGATGAAACGATTAAAGGCATACTGCTGCCAACATGTATTTGAGGGTCTGAGCAACCCCTGACTGCATTTTTCAGATGGACTCCTCAGTCACAGGTTTGAACCTGAGCTTCAGTTCACATCTAAACATTTACAAAGGATTATTGTGTCAGTAGGCCCTGCTTACACATAAAACTGATAAGCTTTAATATAGAAACAGCAAAAGGTAGTTTAGCTCCCAGATTAAGAATTTTTCAGTTCTTCCCACTGGGAAAGTTTGTATTAAAATCTTTGCTTTTAGAAACTGTTTCAAAATCTTATTAAAGCATAGGTCCCAAGTTACACCACTGAGGGAAATGTTTCTCATCTATTCAGTTACCAGCTGTCAACACCTTAGAGAAGTATCCATAATTTACTGGTGTCAGCTCAAAAGAACATTATCTACAGAGCCAAGTGGTTCTTTTTCTGACCCTTCTCCTGAATTACAATTCATCTATCTCAGTTTTGCCCTGGCTTTGAAAAACTTAACGAGGCTGCCACTTTCCTGACTATGCAGAATTTGGTCTAATGTTATATATTCTGACTTCCCCTTATTCCACCCCACCCCCACTCCTAGTTATTGTTTTGGAATTCTGTGATAATTTATTAAGGAGGAGAAGACAAGAACAGATAAAAAGCTGGATAGCAGATCCCTGTATAAAATACAGATGAATTAGAGGATATCATTGTTAGTTAATTAACTATGGACGCTAAAGAGAAGAGGATGAATTGATAGAGCTACTTTGCTTCCCTCTTACAGTGAATGCTCAGCTACATGTCCACCTCTCTCCAAATTAGGGTGTTTTTTTCCCTTTCAAATTGTGCAATGCTTTCATCTTGAGCAGATACAAATTAAGGTCTGTTTGCAGGCAGCTTCAACAGCAGCTGCTTTGCAAAATACTCGTTTCTCATTCTTGCTCAGGGTGACTGCTGGCTTTGTTTCAACACCGGAGGCTGTTTTCTCATAAGTTCTTTTGCAGATTTGCACATTGCTGTGAAAATTTGCAGAGTGCAGTCTTGATAGGTATCAACCATTATAACCACAGTGCTGTGACCCATGTTTCCTGTTATTCTGTCTTAATGATTTGGCGGGTATGTTGGAGATGCTGTACTGATTTCTATGATCTTCATATTTACAGGAAAGTTTGAGGAGTAGATGCTCAGTGATGCCCTGAGCCATCCACCCTGCCTAATGTCATCTGTACTGAAGGACATCTTCTAGGTAGAAGAAGAAGAAATATTTGAATGCTATTCCTGACTAGTCTACAGAAAAAGCAAACTTTCAGAGGGTGATTTCTGGGTGAGAGCAATAGAAGCCTGTTTCAACATCAGACCAAGACTTGTACCTTTTTTTTCCAAACTAGGTGCAGTAGAAATCTTAAATGGGCTTAACACACAACTTGAAATATGTATTGATCCATCTCAGTCTCCATTGCCTCTAAAGCAAAATTTCTCAGTCTGTGATCAGACCAGAATAGATATGACAGAACTTGATCCTTTATACCATTCCTCAACCCAAGCCATGCGATATTCCACAAGCTAGAGTCAACCTGGAGTTATCTCCCATCTCAAAGGAAAGATACGCCCCTGACACACACTCAAAAGTTAATCTTGACCCTAAAGGAGCAATTCCAATGGCTGAGCACTCAATTTTTTGATGTTTGCTGGCTGGCCTCCATCGGAGCTTCCAAAAAGTGCCATGCAGGTCCTATGCCAGCCCTGTATGGATGCTTAGATGTCTACAGCAACACTAGATGCCCATATTTAGGTACTTGATTCCCACCCTAGACTCCCAGTGCACCAGACCTGGCAACACTCAAATAAAAGATGCTAGGTCTTAGTCCAGCCCCAGTCAAGTCATCCAAAATATAAGGTTTCTCTGCCAAGATTCAGTACTTGCACAAGTGAATACGTGGCTTAGCTTGCTGGGTTCAGTCATAATTCTGGTCCTCCTCCTAAAAATGAGTTTGGCCTTGCTTCTGAAATTACACTGAGGGACGTCAAATTGCCAAATCCAAGATGCTACGGACAAACTTTCGAAAGAGAAGATTTCGCCCTAAAGCAAAGCCTAAGTTGGGTTAATAGAGGAACACACTCTAGGAGAAATCAAGTGTTCAATGGACTAAATTGTTCTCTAACACTAAACAGGGTGAATCCTGACCTTACAGCATGAGTTCCCACTAAGAAAAAGTCAGGATGAAGTTTCCCAAATGTCTTAGTGGGAAGCAATGTCCTATTTATGTTCATGTGTAGATTTATTCATTCATCACTTAAACTGTGAGAGAGATTTACTATAATCTTCTGTGCTGCTTCTTTTGAAGATGCCAAGGAAAGATTCTGGGGGATCAGAAGGAGCAATTTTACTTATCTAATCCAATCTTTAAAGCTCACATGTGGATGGGATGAAATTCTATGGCTTATCCCAATTGCCTTTGGAAACAACAACAACTTAACTTGGAGTGTCTTCTCCTTAGCTTCCTCTGCTAACGTGTGTCATTTTCACAAAATTTTTTGGAAGGCTTTTTTTTTTATTTTTTCTGCATCAGAGTGGGTTTTAGTTGCCAGAACCCGTTTTAAATTTTATATGGCAGAGATAGTTTCCAGAAAAATAAAAAATCAGGTAATTTCAATTCAGAAAAAAATGAAACTTTCTGAATTAGGGATTAACATTTAGTATTAACAAATATGTTCACATTTGTTTAATGAGAAAGAACAAAAGCACCCAAAAGAATCAACCCCAAATCCCTGTCTAAAAGCAGGTGGTAAAAGATCATTCTTATGTTGATATGAAAATGTCAGAACTTTCAATTTTATATTTGTAGAATTGCCTCAGATATAGATGCTTGTTTTGCCCCAAAATCATATCCTTTCCTGTCTGAGTCTAATTAATGGGTACTTTTAATTCAATAGTTTATTTGGGATTATGGATAGCCTTGTGCCATTTCCAAAAATTACTCTTCTGTAGTATCCCACATACCCCAGTTGAATCATTGCACATACCATAATCTCAGTCATCTGGGAAATTTCTTCTTGATGCACTGTGAAGTTATAACTTAAACAGGAATCCAAGTGTCTCTGAAACTTCTCCCCTCAGTTTAAGGCAAAAATGTATAATTATGGTGTCTGCATAATAAAGTCCTGCCAAGGCTAATATTTTGCTTTTCATAATTATTACATACACATTTTTACTACCTGACAAGCATCAACAATGGCTAAGGTCAATGATATGCCATGGTCATTAACCTATGAAATTGATGATGTTGTCTCATTTCCCAGTATCCCCAGGCTTCCTGCTTCCCCTTCACTAGCATCCTGCAGAGGAACAATCCTGAGTTCATTTTCTTTCAGCCTCCCTTCCTCCTCCCTCATCCAGTGTTTATGTTCATTCTTCAAGAAAGTAGACCTATTTGGAAACACAAGTCAGAGGACACTGCTCCCTTCTTCACAGCCTGTCCTCCAGAACTTACTCACCTAGGTTGTCTTTAAATCTAGTCTGTCTTCCAAACGTGAGTTTATTGTATCTTTCAATTTCCCACCCCACAAGAGGCTTTTACAATAACTTCTTTCCTACTGTATTGCATACGCCTACGCATTGTTGTATATTCCAATGGCTCCTCATCCCAAATATGTGGGAAAGCTGTCTACCAGAGGGTACAACACAAAGTTATTTGAAAATTCATTCAATCTTTTCAGTTTCTGATCCTTGCTGAAAATGGTAGATTTAATACTACTAGTTTTCAAAAAAAGATGATGTTCCACTCATTTCCTTCTAGGGTCCCATTGCCCTTTTACTTTCAATCGAAAGCCAAAGTATGGAGAGGCCTTTCTGCTTTCTTTTCAACGAGAAATAGCCTTAGACTAGGATTCA